GAACAGACAGCTGACGAAGGGGCGGCCGATACTTACTCCGATCCGGCTCTGGGATTGGCTCAGTGCTTGATGAAGCTGTAACATCGTTACACTTTCCTTGCAGCCGCCCTAGTTAAGCCTACCACTACATGCTTACTAGCGATATAACAGGCTGTATTCGGCAGGCTGCGCAGACCTACCACGCTGGCGACATTAGCTATAGAGCCACCGTCCACTAGCCCACTGAATGCAAGCTGTGCGCGAAGACTATAGAAGACGCCCTTGCCATTCACATCCATGGTAAAGTCCCAGTCTCCATCAAAGGAGTCGCGGGGTGGCTTTAAACCTGTACTCATTCCCGCCACATCGGCCGCGCCCGACAAAGGACCTAGCTTCTGTACTGTGTCTTTGATCCATTCGTTGACCGCTGACGAGGAAGTCACGTTAAGATACGTAGCAAAGTGGCTGCGAGTTGATTCCTTGCTTGGCTGGAGTGAAGCGAGTGTTTCATCAAGAGCTTCCTTATTCAGGTCGGCGATAGAAACTATAGCGTCTCGGGATGCAAGAACCTGGGCGGTGGCTCGGCCAATGCCTGTGCCAGCGCCAGTGATAGCGATCTGCCGTATTGAGTGTCTTGTCCAGTTTCTGGGAAAAAAGAAGACTCACAACTTTGCCCTCAAGAGAAGCCACGATGACAGAAGGAATGGGTGGGAGATTGATATGGCCAACAAGGATACCAGTAATTTTAAACAAAATTGATGACTAGTTTCATTCAGCAGCATGTGTTCGCTTTGGGGCAAAACACCTACTCACAGCCGCTATATGATGGGTTGGACCGCATATTTTGAACGTAGCCGCGGGGTGCCGAGGTCTTGTATCATGTCTGCGACCGTAATATGCCCAGCTGCTCTATATTATTTTGGACCCACAAATCCCCGGAATAAGCACAGCCTGACAACACCTATCAAGACACTCGCAAAGATCACAGAACTTGAATAATGACTTTCTTAATGCCAGGACCGGGCATTCTTTGGTACAGAGCTCTTTCGACACCCTGTCGTGATCAATGGAAGGGCATGATACGTTTCCAGCCATGGTGTACATGGACCGTGGTGTTCGCGTGGGACCACCGGCATCATTCCGCCAGTGCCGAAAATGAAACGCGGCCGAGTCAATGTCCGCATCGTCTGATGGTGCGCATCCCACATTTCCTAAACGATCCTAGCTCCAAGTAATTACAAGTACCTGATGTAGCTAGAGAGAGACAGGAGGGGGATGGAAATGACTAGTGAACATTGACTCAATAAAATCCTAAAGAGTAGCAGTCCTTAATGAAACGGCCGACGCAATCGTCATGCTAATGTGGAAGGCTCCTGACTGCTCCCCCAAGGCGTCAAGGGTGATACAAAAAGTGCGCTATATACACGACATGTTGCAAGTCAACGCTGCATCTGAGAGTATGGCAGAGCATGTAGTGAAGTATTATGCCAATGATTCTAAGGCAAATGCCACAGCCATGTACGCGAAATGAAGCCAATGAGTGTGCAGTAAAAGGGTTTCCCTACCTTATTAATTCGGCGTGGTAGGTGCACCTTTGTATCCTCAACTAGTCACGGGACCAAGCCACCGAGGCGTACATCCTTCAATTCAAGGAAAGATCCAAATCATAGGTCCAATTGAATGATGCTCGCTGTCAAGGATGCCGACATCTTTTGCGGCCCAAACTAGAAGCCGATAATGGTCTTTGTTCCATTTGTGAATGTGGTAAAAGCCCTCTTAGCGGTGTTTACTCATGACTCTGAAACATACCCTAGAAGATCACACGACATCCGGCATAGTGATTAGACTGGCACTAACAGTCGCGTTGTTCTACAGAATGATCCAGACGTGGTGTTCTTCTGCAATGTAATAATGTCCGTACTATATCTATTCCAAACGACGGACCAACCGGAACACTGTCAGGGGTATCTGCTTGGCATCCTTACTCACCAAGTCGCTCTCACTTCATGTTTAATAAGCCTGAATATGATAGGCTAATCATGTGGTTTCGCCATTGTGTACGTCTTCTAGGTGTAACCCTTGGAACTCTTACTCTAGTATTTTCATGGCTCCAAATCTACGCGGCGGCTTATGTGCGAGGTCAGACGTTCTTTTAGTATCAACAAGTCATTTATTGTGGAATTTCGGGAGGCTGATGATGGAGATCAGTAAACCAAGGTAATGCATTGTAATCTCGTCTTAGTTAGAGAGAAGTGGTTGGTAGGCGTTTAGTATAGGAAGTAGCGCGATCATTGACTAGCAAGAAGTTACGGGGATACGTATCATCAAGCTGTCAATAAAAGGCATGAAATATGTCCCACTGCCCAGATATCATCACCATGACTGCGATTGTACTTGTAAGCAGTTGAGAGTGTAGGAAGTATTGTGTATTGTGATGTGTATCATGATAGGAGCAAGTTTAAATACAGC